CTCTGGACAAACAGTAGTAAAGAAGTAAGTCCCTATAATCCCCTATCACTTGATTTCTCAGATATTTTTGTTAGTGTAATTGATTTGAAAATTTGAAGAATTTATTGTGTTAATTGAGATATTAAATATAATATCATATGTTAAATTTAATGGATGTTTTAAGTTTGTGGGAGGGAGGGAGGAAATTATCTCAAAACTGCAATAATTTGAGTAACTAAACAATTGGGCCTTTCGGGAAAAACGAGTTGGGCCTTTCTTGAGTGGCTATATATACAAAAAATATTTATTTTTCGGTAATCATTGTGAGAGCGGCTATACTGTTTCATTTTCCCGTTACTTTTTCAATCTACTATTAACTGATTGTACTTAATTATACGTAAAAATAGTACGGACTAGCCACTTTTCGAACTGGTAAATCAAAATAGCTAGCATTTGCAAAGTCATTGAAAAATAGCCACTATTTTGCTGCAATACGGACCGTTCCAGCATAATATACTGGAGATTGATGCACCTGTATATGAACTTCCAGCATATTATGCTGGAACTCCAACACGCGAAAAGTTACAGCATAATATACTGGAGATTGGAGCACATGTGCATGAACTTCTAGCATATTATGCTGGACCGGTATATTATACTGGAACTCCAGTATATTATGCTGAAATATTTTTTTGGATTTTGAACAGTGTTTTCGTTCAAATTTATCTTTACATGAAAAGTGGCTAAATTTCGATTGCTTTTGAAACTGTGGCTATTTTTCAATTACCACTTGTAAATTTAGCCATTTTTGAATTTCTTCCTAATTATACATATATTATAAATAAATTATACATATTATATATTTGACAAGCAATTGAGTAGGCGGCTATTTGGATTGATTCTTCTGCATAAAAATGTGGATCTAATCGAAACTGAAGTTAAAGGTGTACGTGGCCCGATCAATGTTTTTTTTACATATATATGGGCTGATTATGCAAATATTCTTTTTAGGACACTAATTAAATCCGTCCCTATTTTAAAGGTTAAGCAAATATAGTTCTTGTAAAATTACTCCTTTTGGACAATGTTAGACTTAGATCTAAGTTTACTCATATAATTTTTAATTTACTCACAAAATAGTATATTGTGTTCTAACGATTGCGATAACTGACATTATAACTCTTGTCATATCTCATGGGATTATCTATCCCACCTCATATATGGGATAGCTAATATCAATATTTTAATATAAAGTTTTTGCCGATATTAGTTAATATCCACAATCAAATACGGATAACTATAATTTTAAATTTAATATCGGGACAATTAATATTCTTATCCTGATAACCTAACTACATCCAAACTATCAAAAAACATACAAATAGTGGGTTGATATCCCATACCATACTATTAAAAATTATGTTAAAATAATAAATACTCTTTTATATTCCTAATTTCGAAAGCTCAAATTCAACTCTTTAAATATAAAGTCACCGTCTATGATAGAGAGCGTTTTACCTCCTAAAATGAACGAATACAAATTGGAAGATGGATCCGAGAGAGTGCGAAGGAAAGGGATGTTTAAGTCGGCCATGAATATGTTGCTAAAAAGTAAAGTCAAACTTTCTTTAATCTTTTCAACGACTAAAGAATTTCGGCTACTCAATATTATTGTACTATAATACCAGATTCTGAAAGAGACAAAGAAGAAAATGGTCCAACAAGAGAGACATCCTTTTCTTTTTTTTGATGATTTCATGAATAAACTCAAAAATGGTTGTCCGACGAGATTAGGAGTGGGGCAAAATAGCGGGTCAGGTCGGATATGCGCGGGTAAAAAATAAATAATATAAAAATAAAGAAAATATTCGGCTCTACAACTATTTAATACTGATAAAAATGAGTTACCAGGCGGATAATATAGATATTCATATTATTCATGACTTTTTGAATATGATTACTTTTGGGAGAATTCCTAGTCTTCCAAACTTGAGGAACCTCCAATTTATATTAGTCTTTGCAAATATAAAACTTAAACACATTGATTATCCATTGGTTATTCATTTTTTAATGGATAATATGAAATTTATCCATATATGACCCACTTTTAAAATTTTTGATTATCCAGCTCTTTTTAGTGAATAATATGAATTTTAAACTATTTTTTTATTCATTTTTCCGCCACTAGACGAGACATGGGAAGAAACTTTTAAGGGGTCATTTGTTTGTCGAATTTACGATATTATTTTCGTTATAAAATTTAAGATTATTTTTATTTTATATTTAGTTATTGGTATTAACTAAAATTGATATAAATGTTATATGAAATCTTAATATTTTCTATCCGATATAAGATATGGGATATATATCCTTATTCCGAACCAAATGACCCCTAGTGTTTTAGCTTATGTCTTTGTTGGAGATAGATTTTATTGTCGTTATAGATGTTCTTTTCGTTATATGTGATATGATCATTTTAACAAAAGATTGATAAAATATTTATAAATATAAAAACAAGAAATAAACATAAAAAGTAGATAAATAAAACACAAAATATCTTTGTAAATTTATTTTTTCCTATTCAACTTGTAACTGCACAAAATCCCGACCTGTTTGTCACCTGGCCAACCTTTTACCTACTCCCTCTTTCTTATATTCCTCCACTTGTGTCTATTCCTATATATAAGTTAACAACTTTAAATAACAGCAAAGTCTGCTTTTTCAATTTTTGTGAAGCATAACATCTCACGTGTCGGCTGAAAAAGAAAAGATCCTAATTATTTTAATCTTTAAAACCAATATTCAAAAGCATAAATGAGTAAAAGATGTATCAATTAAAGAAAAATGAGTTTATTTTTTTCGGCCTATATTCGACATCCGCATTAGAGCCTCAACTAATCTAGATTTGTGCCGTATAAAACCCTTAAAGACCGGTGACGCGCTCCTTGCCATAATCGTTTTTACATTTACCCAACTAAAAATATCACGTTTATATAAGTTAATTAGAAATTAAAAACATCATATTTCTTAGTTTAGGTGTCATCAAATGGTGGATTTTAAATCTTCAGGTAATCATATTTGGAAGAAACTAAGGATAAGACATCCTCGTATAGAATTAATATAAGAACGCCGACACGTTTATCTCGACAAGAACAGAGCACACGATTGCTACTAATAATGTCCATCTCCTTTGAATTTGATAAGCTATAACTGAATATTCATCATTTAAGATGTAATAATATGGTCAAACGTGTCGACACTGTAATTCACCTAAAATTTCTCAAATTTAAAGTTAATCTCTTTACGTTGGTTTTTGATTGAACACAAAATATAAAACAGAAAAAAAAAAGTTAAAATTTGTAGTTCAAAATAAATCAAAATATTTGTGTAGCTGTATTTTGGTTTGACTTTTGCCTCACACATCAATAAAAATAAAATAAAAAGCTTAAAGTTAAAAGTTTTCTAAGTATAAATATATTATTTTTTTTGGGCACTTAAAAAAAGAATATTGCGTGAATTCAGACATATATAGTATATAATCTTTTATATATAGGGTTAGTTAGCTTAATTACTTACATGCATCCCTTTAATTATCTACGGTCAAATGAAGCATTTTGTACTTTACACGATAGAAATTAAACACTTGGTTTTTACACTATCAATCGAACTTAACTGTTGTAAAATATTTCTTATCTTTCTTCTCCATGCCACGCTATTAAGTAAAAAAAATTACGCTTATTGATATTATCAATTGTTGGGTAACAAGATATTCAAGAAATAATTCTTAAAAATGTAATAATAATATTGTCTAGATATCATATACTAAGACCATTTTTTTTTATTGTGTTATACATATTCTAAGAATTTGCAGGTCTTTCGAGACAGTTTCCTTTCATGTGATTTTAAGTCTATGTCATCACTATTTGTAAATCGACACAGGACATAATCGAACCATCTCAATAACCAGGACACTCACACAATGAGTTCACTTAATTAAGTTAATTTTCAATGAAGGTCCTTGTCATTTATATTTAATTCCTAAAGTGGATTCATTTTTGGATTTTAAAATCTGCTTCACAAAGTCAGTAGACTAGGCTAATTTCACAACGTTCTCATTTGCGGAAAAGAAAAATCTCTTTTAATTAACGTGTCTGGATCATTGATGAAGGTGAAAAATTAAGGATTTCATTTATATAAATTTCTGTAAATTATTTTTATAATATTAGTGTAATTTAATGTGGTACAACAAATGGCCTGCTATATTTTTCTATAAGAATAACTAATTTCACTTATTAGTATAATTACATGTAATTATTTTTTAGGAAACCTAATAATATTAAAGTTTTTAATAGTGTTAGTATATAAAAACTAAATTCTAAACTAAAACCTTCTTAAGCATTGACCGTTACTATTCTTCAGTGGCGGAACCAGGATTTTCATTAAGTGGAGCCAAAATATAAAGAAATAAACTCACCAAGAATTCAAGGGGTGTCATTATATAGCATATATACACATTTTTTTTAAAATTACCGAGTTAAACAGTGTAGTTTTTCGACGAAGGGGTGTCGGTTGAAGTGAAGAAGGAAGAGAGGCAACGCAGGTCAGATTATTAACAAATGTTTAGTCACAAATCAAATTTTCCAACGTAACAGTACTGATTTTCATTTTTAATGTGTAACCTTTTTTTATATTATCGGTGTATATATAAGTGAATTATATGATAATATATAGTAATATTGCTAAAAAGGAAGAGACACAACATGAGAACCTCTTCCGTTGTATCACTCAAAAGAATCAAAGGAGTTCCAGTATCTTCTCCATTTAACAGAAATACAATAACATCTTTTACTACATATTAAATCAATCTTCTGTAACCCGCAAAATTTTGTTGGATGTGTGTGAACAAAATTTCACGTAAAAAGTAGAAGAGAAAAAGAAGCTATACTACTTATAATTAAAAAGTTGGATACTCTTAATGATTTTAATTGTACGAGACCTTTTGAGGAAAATTATTTCAGGGTTTGACTCAAAGCGGACAATATCAATACTGTGTTAAGAATATCTTTGAATTGTTTTAGCTCAAACAAATTTTGAACTGCTAATCATTGTTCGTGTTTATAACATGTGATTACATTTTTAACTAACCAAAAAACTATAGTGAACTTGCGAATTGTGTTCTTCTTCATTCTCTTCAATAGCTCCAAAGACTTTCAATATACGAGGGATCTCCTTTTGAATCTTCCAATGTTGAGGAGTTTATTCTTGGAGGGCTCATCATCATTGCCTCCGCCATATCAACAAGCAAATTAGGCATATAAAATACATCATCCTCATCTACATATTTCTCTCCTATAAAAAAATGGAAAAGATGTTAGGATCGAAATAATTAGTAGGTATCATGCGAAAGCTAACAAAGCAAACCTTTAACGATCATAAATCAGATAACAAAAGAGACACAAATATTTAACGTGGTTCGGTCAATTGACCTACATCCACACGCGGAGATGAGCAATACACTATATAAAGAGAATACAAAATATTGAGAGAGCAACCTTACAAAGAGGCACACACAAGTGGCAAGCTAAATTTTCCTTTTCGTAATAGGAAAAATCAATTATGGTAAATATGTTGAACTTTCTCCAAGAAATAGGAAAATCAAATATGGTAAGAAAATTAGGACAAATGCCTAACAAAACATTTATATAGTGTTTAAGAGATTCAACCATTTGTAGGAATAATAAATATCATTACCTATTTGCACGTTATAATTTTCAAGTGAAGGAAATTCAACTGAATCCCCTTCATTAAATGTAGCTCCGACGCCATTGCTTCCTGATAACTGATCATCATTGCCTTGCTGAGCCACCACTGTACCTTCTCCGGCTTCTTGCTTCATAAGCACGGCCGCAGTGGCGGCCGCGCTTTGTATATCGGCCGGAGAAGGTGAGGGAGGGAGCTGTGGATAGGAGTTGACATGACAAGGGAAGTTTAGTACAACATTATCACTGCCTTTTAAAGCTAAGGCAGCAACATCATAGGCAGCAGCTGCCATTTCTGGAGTAGGAAATGTTCCTAGCCATATTCTTGTAGTTTTACGTGGCTCTCTAATTTCAGACACCCATTTCCCACTTCTGCAACGTATTCCCCTATACAAAGGATGTTTGGTATTTGTTCTAGCAGACTGTTTGTTTTCAACTACAGTGTTTGATAGTTGACTAGACTTGGTAGTGTGTGAAAGGTCAGCCATATAATTGATTTCACTCTACTAGTACACTAAATTTAAACACCTAGCTATATATATGCGTTTGTATATGTAGAGACGAAGCCAAAATTTAAAATTTAAAGGTGCGAAATATTAATGATGTGTAGTGGTGTCTATGTGCTCATCACTAGCTACCTATACATAAGGGGAATATGATATTTGGTATATAAGAGGTAGTTGTAAGATATATATATGTCTAATTTAAAAAAAGTGAAAGCGTGGGCAATTCGTGGTTAAGTTGCTACAAAAAGGTTTTATTTGTTTTCTTGTGACAAAAATGGCACACGTATTTGGAAAGAACTACAGCTTTTGTATAATAATAGCTGTTATCTATTATGCTTAATCCATTTTCATGCTGGCAATAATATTTTCCCATACAATTTAATATGAAAGTGGGAGTACTTTTTATTCAAATAGGGGGGAAGTTGTGTTTTATTGTAACCAAATGATCTAATGGTATGAAGATTTTTCTTATGGTCGACGTTATTTTTTTTGCTATAGTATTGTCAATTTGCAAATAAATTATATCAAATGGAGGTGCTAATGCTGTTGGTTTTTTTAAATTCTTTTACTCTTTGGAAATATAGAAACTTGGATTAGTCCACTAGAATAGCTTTGGCTCGTTTGGTAAAAGAATTGTACTAGCAAGGGATATTGCAATAATCTTTAGCTATTTGGTCATTGAACTTAGGGGTCGTTTGGTAGGGCGTATAAGAATAGTATTGAATAAGGTATATTAGTAATGTTAGATTAGTTATGCTGGAAATATTTTTTATCGACTATTGGTTTGGTATATTAAAATCAATTTTATCTTTATATATGTTTATCCATGTATTAAAAATCATGGTATCGTTAATGTCATGGTTAGCTATATACAAAAATATTACTCAATAGAGTATATTATCTAATAGAAACTAAAGGTCCACCAAACTATGTAGAGAACCATGTTCTCTATAAGTTCCCACAGAACACACGCACACTGCAGTAAGTAAGTGACACAATAAAATTTTACGTGGAAAATTTTCAGCTCACGGGATTAAAAATCACGACCTACCCTTGTAGGATTTCAACTTCACTACTGAGCAAACTTCAAATTACAAACTATTGTAACCTAGGAGTTAATCTCTTAATCCCTCACTAACTTGTAACAACTCTATGACAAGCCCCTTTGTAATAACTCTATTACAAAGCTTACAACTCGATTAACTCTAGCCAATCACCAACACAAGGTTTATAATTTTAGAAAGATTTCCTACACAATGCTTCAAACTAAGCTAAGTAGGAATTACAAGTAAAGTGCTTTAACAAATGTGCAGCACAACTAAGGACATGTAATGACTCAATATAGGAAACTAATCCTTTATTATGTTGTTCTTTGTTCTTGATGCCCTTGAGAATCACTTGCAAGATTGACACACACTTGAGAGAATGCTTGATCGATTCTTGAATGTGCAAATGTTTTGTTTTTACCTTTGCATGATGTTAATAATTTATTTGTGAAATCACTTGAATGATGCAAGAAAGTTAGGTAAATGGCATTCCCCATAAAGTTGACTGCTACATTGTTTTTGCATTATTGCGTGTACAGGCAGCAACTTTACAACTGTGAGGAGTTGACTTGTACATTCACCAAGGGAACTGGTGGCCATCTTTTCCCTCTGTTGTTCCTTTAACTCTGAAGAGTTGAACCACATCTCCGACTTGCGACTTGTTGTTCTTTAAGTACTTGAGGATGTGTAACAGGTTCCTTATATGGTTCTTATCATTAAGTTTGTTAGATCATCAAAACATAACATGGATACATATAACCTATCAATTTCCCCATTTTTGATGATGACAAACTTATAATTAAATTTCCCCCTAAGAACCAGAATGGTAGATCGGTTTCCTGTATTCCTCCTGAATCTGTTCCCCCTAGCTTGTTCCCCCTCAATTATTTTTCCCCCTTTTGGCATCATAAAAAGATCAACAGCAAGCAATAAGCAAAAAGAAGTCAAGCTTGGTTAACTCATTCCACATGTGTGCACACAATCATGACTAAAAACAGAGCAAAAGAGTAAGACATACACAACAAAAGGATGAATCGTCCATTAATTTTTGGAAATTAAGCAGGGAGCAGTTCCATTGTTACCAAAACATCCACAAAATAAAAATAACAAATGGTACTAGTCATAAACATCATTAAGACTAAAAACGGAGGGCGGACACTAGGAACTTGACATTGGGAAGGGAATAATTTTTAGGGAGCACAGAAGGAGAAGGCCCAAATAAAGAGGCAAGGGTTCTAAGAAGGATGTCCATTCGAGCATTAGCTGACACCTACTCGCTGAGCAGTCTCTCCTTCAGGTCCTCAACCTGTTTCCTGAGATCGACATTTTCTTTTGTCAGATGGGCAACCTCTGTGCTGTGAGAGCTGCTAGAACCAGGTGTCTCCTGAACCTGACTGATCATACCTTCGAGAATGGCATTCCTTGCCTTCGGCTTCCTTATCTCTTTAGTGGCACTGTTATGAGTGTGAGCAGTTGAGAGATAGTAGAATTGATGCCAATACCTCCACTCCGGTCAATGCACTCGCACTCTTCTAGGGTGGTCTTGGAGAAGGTTTGCTTGCGAGTTCCCACCTTAGCTTTTCCCAAAGGGACTTTGAAAAATTCAAAAACTTTAGTGAGGAGGAGCTCGTAAAGTAACCCATGATTACCATCCTTGAACTCTGTCACCTTCTTCATATGTTCTACCATAAGACCAGACATGTTTATAGTGGTGTAGCCATCGAGTGCTTCCATGAGAACCAGGTCTGCTTGTGACGTAATGAACCGTCTTTCTACGCGTGGGAGTAGAACTTTGTTCACCAATTCAAACAGCAGTTGGTATACTAGAAGGAGGGCCTTCTTGTGTACTCGTTCCCCTTGTTGTATGGCCTTATCCTTCACGATGAAATTTCTGAAGTTAGAAGAGCAGGTTCCCTCAATGGTGGACATTCCCTCAGTAGGCACGCCCAAAATGGTTCCCAGTACAGTAGTTTCCATCACAAAATCAACACCATTCAATTTCAGACAGATAGTATCATCCCCAATTATGAAGAAGTCAGCATAGAAACTGCGCACTTCTGCCTCATAAACTTTGGGACTGTCACTAGTGAACAAATGTGTACACTGTTGGTATTTACAAATGTCATCCAGTTGGCGCATTCCTGACATATCAAGAATATTATAGGCAAATGTGCGGCCCCAAAGCACCTTATGATTTCTCAAATTCTCCCTTTCCTCATCCCTAACCACATTCACTCTCGCCTTTTTAGAGGAACCAGGTTCCTCATTAGCTGTCACGACCCCAAATTTGCTCCGTAGGATATCGTGATGGTACCTAATCTCTAAGACTATGTAATCCTATCAATGCGGAATACAAATTTAAATCTGAAATAAATAAACTACAATTCAAACAATTTCAACTCCCAAAACCCGGTAGAAATAATTCACAAGCTTCTAACAATTTATCCTCAATGTCTCTCTCTCTCTCTCTCTCTCTCTCTCTATATATATATATATATATATATATATATATCAAGGTCTGAAGAAAATAAGAAAGCAACACAATAATGATAGAAGGGGACTCCGGAGTCTGCGGACGCTAGCAGATATACCTCGAAGTCTCCGTGTACAGTTAACTCACTGATGTCGGGGCTGGTAAGGAGTACCTGGATCTGCACAAAAAAATGTGCAGAAGCGTAGTATGAGTACACCACAGCGGTAACCAGTAAGTGCCAAGCCTACCTCGGTAGAGTAGCGACGAGGTCAGGTCAGGCCCTACTGGAAAATAATAATTTCATGGTAAAATGTTTAACAATATAATAAAATAAAATGACAATGGAAATGAATCAAGTAGCATGTCACTATTTAGTTAAACAAAATAATGGCAAATAATATCTCGTGGAATCAAAACAGAATTTCCTTTCAACTTTATGAAAATCACAACAAATAATCAAAGGCAACTATGGCCATAGATCAATATCAACAAGGGCACTCACGAGGTACCGCCTCGTAGTCCCAAATCATAAGTAAATTCACAATATCTCATTTCCTTATCTCATCGCGGGAGCCTTCACAATTTATTTTAAAGAAAATATTTTTTCCGAAATAGCATCCCGCATTTTAGCCATCCTTATCACACTGCATGACTTCTAGTAGTTCCCCCTACTAGCCACGCGTATCAAGCCACCCTTATCTCACCGTATGCGTTTCAATACCCAGACCTTATACCACCACATGTGTATCAACATCACAATATATCACAACTTGTACCTCAAGTGCTCAAATAATTTAACTTGCCAAAATACTTCAACAATAATATTTTCCCCAATAAAGAGCTCACAGCTCATGCCAACATAAATCATCAATAATATTTTTCCATAATAAAGAGCTCACAACTCCATCACAATGAGTGTATGAAAATCTTACAAAAATATTCAGGAATAAATAATTCAGCAAAATAATATTTCAAAATCTTTAATACGTTGCTTTAATACCAAATTTAAAAATGTCAAATACTTCATATTAATAACATATAATTTAAAGAAAATTTTCTTCAAATAATGCACAGAATAAAAGAAACCAAATTTCAACTAAACAGGTAAAGCAATTAGCAGGAAAATGTCAAGCAACTTTAAAACATTAAATCAATGATAAAGAATATATCAGAATAAAATAGTTTAATTAATGCGCAACAGTGATCTACACAATTTTAAAACATAATCTTTCACATTTATCCGGTGTACACACTCGTCACCTCGTGTACACAACTTTCAACACGTTACAATTTATCACTTCCATACCAATCCTAGGGGAAATTTCCCCCCACACAAGGTTAGACAAGTCACTTACCTCGACTTGCTCCAATTTAACCAAGTAGTATACCTTTTCCTCGATTTTTCGACTCCGATCGACTCGTATCTAGTCATAATTAATTCGATACAGTCAAATAAAATTATAGGAATCAATTCCATAAGAAAATATTATATTTTTCAATAAAATTCGAAATTAGTTCAAAAATCGCCCGTGGGGCCCACATCTCAAAATCTGTCGAAACTTATAAAATCCGACAACCCATTCAATTACGAGTCCAACCATACCAAT